GTAGAGAGAAGAAAAGATCTTCCCCTTTCAGAGAAGACAGAGGAGAGAGAACATGGTCTTGTCATTGTCCTGGATTCAGAACTCTGACCTCTAAAACTAAGAACCGAGTAAATCAATTTCTGTTCTTTAAAACCACCCACTTGGTGGTATTTTCTGATGGCAGCCCGAGGAAACCAAGACAGTAGAAAACTGAAATCAGGGAGTCAACTCCTCAAGGTCTCCCAGTTGGTACATGGGTGGCAGTCACACCTGAGCAGCTCTCACATCCAATGAGCCAGGCTGCCACTCAATACTCTGAAAGTTCAAAAGTATAGTTCCAGGACAAGTACCCAAATTGCAAGTTATGCTTTGCCACTAACGCTCTCCCTTGAGTTTTTCTCTCCTTTCATGGAATTTTCTTAAACATCCATTATGTTCTTCACACCCCTTTTCTCAGCTTCTCTACTCTCTTGAGCAAATGTGCATTCGCACACTTTCACGGTGCATTATTTTGCCTGATAAATATGCATTAAGTACAAAATGCTGTCATTGGAAGCAGCATAGCAGAGCAGTCGGATTCTCAGTCGAATTCTCCAGGCACTAGTGGGAACTGTCACAATGGACCTGCCTGCTTGGCAAGCACTTCTTGAAATGCTAAGAACTTGGTCAGGGTCACTTAAGTGTCTCTTTTGGGCTTCTCTTAAGGGATTTGTTCCTCAAACTGTCAAGCCCTGAAAAGACCCCAAATAGTAGTCAGGGAGAAAATGTGCAGAAAAATAACTTGCAGCAAATGATATGTGGACACATGGATGTGTTGACCATCACTATAGTCTTGTCTCATTAAATCAAGTCCAATCCAAAATCCAAGTGTCTAGAGGAGGACAACATGAACAGAATATTCACTGGAAAAGTGTTCCAAATTGACACTTGAAGAATGGAAGGGGGCTTTTGAGTCTCTATGAGAAAGAGTTAGCTCTCCAAATATATTTCCAATCACAGTATAGGACAATGTTTTCCTGGGATGGCTGAACAATGTTTTTCTGGGATGCATAATAGATATTTGTATTATTTCAAGACAATCATAAAATGCCACTGATTTGTATACTTCGCTCAAGTGAGTAAAAATCACTCCTCAAAATTCGGCCTGTACACAGCCTTGACACAAATTCTTTGACAGTTCCACATATTTCTTGAGCCGTGAAACAAATCTGACTGCAGGCCACAGAGGGTGGGGAATAACAAGTTTGTTAGTCACTTCAGACAAGTGCAAAACCAAAAAAAGAGTGGTTAAAAAAAAAAAATCAAGTATTCTTGCTTAAAGACTGCAATCAGTTCAAATGCCGGGGTGCCACCTCTATTTCTATATTTCATGTGTACCAAAGGGAAACCATGAATTAAACATAGAAACTTAAAACCATCCCTACCAGCAACAGAAAGTAGGCCTTGGTCTAAGCACTTACATGGATGATTTCCTTTTATCCTCCCAATAATCCTGTGAGGAAGTACTACTAGCTCCATTTCCCTGGTAAAAACTGAGGCCTGGCAAGGTCAGTAACTTAGTGGTACGGCCAACATTTAAAATCTAACCCCTTGACTCTTCAGTCACAATGTTATAATGGTTTCCAGAGTTAAAGATCCATTCAGCCAAAGAAAAAGGCAAAAGGGCACAGACTACTCAATGTAAAAAGCTGAACTCAACTAAGTTTCCCCAGTTGAACACTGTTCTTAGTTGGAATTTATAATGTAGGGTTGTGAAAATGCTTCTGTAAAGCATCAAGTAGGGCATAATTTAGTCTGCTGTGACAATTCAACGTGGCCAGAGTAGCCATGAAAGATGTCATAGGCAATATGTAAATGAATAGCATTGTTGCGTTTTAATAAAACTTTATATACAAAAAGGGGCAGTGGATGGTTTTGGCCTGGTGCCAGTAGTTTGCCGACCCCTGCTCTAATTCATCATTATAAATATATTATCATAATTACACAATTCCAAGAGCAGCGCCCTCCAACAAGGAAATCTGTGAGCAAATGAGGAGGACCACCTAAGAGAAACTCTTGGGTCTGTGGCTAATGTTCTTTGGTTGAGCACAAGAAAAAAAATGGGGAGAGAATTATTTCTTCAATATTCTCTGACATTTCTATTAAAATGGCAAATAGCTCAGCATCAACATGTCATCAAGGAATCAAAAACACTGAAGAAAATCAAGACCGTCACAACCTGTATTCTCTTCAGGGTTTTCAATGATTGCTTTCTTCAGAGGAAGATTTGCCAGGCCTTTCTTCTACAGCACTGCTGGATGGACTCAAACCTCCAACATTACAGTTAGCAGCTGAGCATATGACTGAATGTACCACCAAAGGACATCTGGCTAGAATTTATATGTGTGTGTGCAAGGTTATGCTTAATATGTAAGTCTCATTTAGATAAATTCTCATCCTGGGCAAACTAGGATGCTATAGAGAGATCTCTAGGTCTGACTGTCCATTTAGAATATAAGGAATGAAAGAAAGAAGAAAAGCAGACACAAAAAGCTGGTAACAGAACCGTCAGGAAGAATAGTCAACAAGAAACATACCTACTAGATCCTTAATTGTGAAAGGCAGTGGTTTTTAATTTCCTCTTCTTGACCAGGGTGTTGATGACTGGTAGGATAGGAAGACTCAACCCCAGGTATTCATTTCTAGGTAATTAGGTCAGTGGTTCAAGCACACCAGCTGCTCCTTGGAAACCCTATACAGGGTCGCTATGGGTCAGAATCAACTCGACGACACTTAATAACAACAAGTATATGTACTGATAACCCTTTCCAAAGCCTATGAGTTGATGGGTCAAATCTTTATAGTAGACACACACATAGAAGTGTCATAAAGTTCTTGGAAAACATCCACTATCTTTCAATTCCGTTTTTCTAGGAATGCTTTTAAGCCCCCACAGTTTGAACACAGCCAAAGGCTTCTCTAGAGAAAGCTATTTATCTGCATCCGAAAGATCATGTTGTTGTCATTGTTAAGTGTCATCAAGTTGGTTCTGGACTCATAGCAACCCTGTATATGGTTTCCAAGGAACAGCTGGGAGGTGTGAACTTCTGACCTTGAAGTTAGCAGTCTAGTGCTTATCCTACAGGGCAACATCATGACTCCATGGAGAATCCTACAGATCACAGTTCTATTGTGACACACAGAATCAGAGTGAGTAGGAACCAACTGTTGTTTTTTTTTTGGTTTGGTACCCACCATATATGGACATGGAGTCCTGGAGTGTTGTAAGGTAAGTTTGAACCAAGAGGTCAGTGGTTCAAACCTACCAGTCACTCTTTGGAAAGGCTGTGCAGGTTTGCTATGGGTCGGAACTGAGTCGATGGCATTTGACAACAACATATATGGTAATTGTTATGTAAATATATAATTAAGTATATATTTTAAATGTCAATATTGCCCTCTAGGATTAATATGTGACCTAAACATCAATCTGTAGGTTTTAGGAAATTGAAGCAATTTTCTCTTAAACAGACTGGTTGTTGTTGTTGTTGTTGTTAAGTGCCGTCGATTCAATTCCGATCCATAGCAATCCTGGATAGGGTTTCCAAGGAACAGCTGGTGAGCTTGAACCACTGCCCTTGCAGTTCAAACGACTTTGCAGTCTGATGCATTAGCCCACAGCACCACACCAGGACTCAAATAGGCTGATAAGAGCATAAAGTCCTTTTACTTTATGTTCTTTACAAAATTCTAAGGGCCTTTTTTTGGTAGTCTGTAGCTGAGAAAATGATATATATTTATACTTATCTCTACCAATAGAATATGTTATTTTGTTTCTGCATTTTGTTAAGAAAAGTTCAGATTATTGTTGGTTACAGTGTGGCACTTTAACTGCAAGGTCGGTGGTTCAAGCTCACCAGCTGCTCCTTCCTTGGAAACTCTTTACAGGGTTGCTATGGGTCGGAACTGACTTGATGTCACTTAACAAAAACAACAACCAAATCACTGCTCTTAGTGTCAGGGTCGGCATGAAAAAAGGAATAAAATGAAAGGGCTGGTGGGAACTTCTCTGATGTCTTCTATGATGTGTGAGGGTAGATTCACATGGAAAACAAAGCAAAGTTACCACTGCTGATTTACTGGACAGATAACCACAAGGTCAGCAGTTCAAATCCACCAGTTACTCCTCTGAAACCCTACACAGGACCACTATGAGTCGGAACTGACTTGATGGCACTTAACAACAACAACATTTAGTTTTGTAAGGAGCACTGGACTGCTAATCACAAGGTTGGCAGTTCAAATCCACTAGCAGTTTCACAGGAGAAAGATGGGGTTTTCTGCTCCCATAAAGATTTACAGCCTGGGAAACCCTCCACAGGGTCTCTATGTGTCAGACACAGAGTCCGAAGTGACTGAAGCCAGGGGGTGTTATTAGGAGGGATCAGTGCCTGGAGAAGGACATCATTCTTGTTAAATGGAGGTTCAGCACAAAAAGAGGGACACCCAGCAACGACGGGCTCAAATATAACAACCATTGTGAAGTAGTGCAGGATTAGGTATGTTGCATTTGGTTGTGCACAGGGTTGTTATGAGATGCAGCTGACTTGACGGCACCTAACAACAGCAACTATAACAACTATATATATATATTTTATAGCAATTGTTTTAAAGGCTTCCCCATCTCTAATTATTCCTTCCAATTATTTAAGATACATATTTTTCAGGTCAGGAAATTGACATGTATTCTCAGAAGTTGTCTTTCGGAGGCGTTTTACTTACTGAAGCAAATTGAGAATTCTCCTTTGTAATAAAAAACAGACAAAGACAAACAACAGCCAATTCTCTTAATGTACATACTGCTCTGTAGGGAAAAAATAAAAATGAAAACCCCTAAATATTGTTCGTGTAATGTGCAGTAGTCATGTTCTACATCAACTAACAGATGTTTCCTCTGCAAAAACAAGACACGAAAGCCTCAGCATGTCCACATAGGCGGTGTTTCTTACATGTTAGCAAAATTATAACACGTGTGCTCTAACCTGTTCCCAGTCTCTCCAAGGGATTCTGTCTGAGAAGAACAGTAATCAGGTCCTGGGCATGGGGGGGTGGAGCCTCATCCTTTTCAGGCCAGTTGATTTCATCTAGAAGGAAGAAAACCGTTTACAACCTTATCGCTCATAAGGCGGTCCATGTCCCAACACCATCACCTGGGAGCTTGTTAGAAATCCTCAATTTCAGATTCCATCCCACACCCACAGAATCAGAATCAGTAATTTAACAAGCTTTCCAGCTGATTCTGATGCAGTTCAGTATAAGAAGCCCTGTTTTAATTGACAGGACCAGCAAAGCTTTCAACCAGGCAGGGAGAAAACGTTCAGTCATTAGTATCTCCATTTCAATGCCTTCTGTATTTTTATTTTCGAGTGTGTGTGGCAGAATTGACTCCCCACAAATTGCCCTTCTAGCTTTTGCTGTTGTTGTTGAGTTGGTTCCAACTCATAGCCACCTTGTACATGGTTTCTAGGGGCAGCTGGTGAGTTTATGTAACTGACGTTATGGTTCAAATCAACCTGGCAGTCCAATGCCTTATCCTACAATCCCAAACCAAGACTCTTTCTAGCCTTTCCTGTAGTTAAGTGTCATCAAATTGGTTCTGACTTTCAGTGACCCTGTGTAGGCTTTCCAAGGAGGGAGTGGTGAGCTTTAATTGCCAACCTTGTGGTACAAACCGACCTTGTAGTCCAGTGCTTTATCCCACAGGACCACACCAGTACTCCTTCCAGCCCTCAAGAGTGGTTAATATAACATTGGGGTAAATATGAGGCTTTCTGCTCCCACAAAGATTTACTCATACAGGGTTGCTATGAGTCAGAACCGACTTGATGCCACGTAACAACAATAATATATAACAGAGACTCTGAATACCTGTGTTTTAGGTGGTCCTTCATCCAGAGTTCATCAATGAGTGTGGTTTTATCACCTATAAAGCTCAACTAAAGGAGCCCTGGTGGCACTGTGGGTTAGGTATTAGTAGCCCAATAAGTGCAAAGTTGGTGGTTCAGCCCACCAATCTGTGTAGGAGAAAGACAAGACTGTTTCCTTCCATAAAGATGCAGCCTCGGAAACCCTATACAGGGTCACTATGAGTTGGAATGAACTCCACAGCCGTGGGTTTGGTTTTTGAAACTGTTGAACTGAGAATTTGGTTAGAGTCAAATAGGGGTATTTCTCTCCAAGAAGCAAGAAATAGTTTTGTCAAAATCTATATTTCCAGGTACAAAGGAAAGGTCAAAAAGCTAAGATTGAGAGAGTAAAAGAAAAGCCTTCAAAGTAATCATTGTAATGAAGTATTTTAAATCTGTCATAAATAGTAGACTATGCTCTACATTCTAAAGGAGTTTGCCTGGAGATAGGTATGCATGCTTGTGTGTACAGAAATGCAATAAAAACATGAGTTATTTCAGTGTGTTCCTGCCTCTAGCTTCCTCTGCTGCAGTTTAAATCTGATTTGGAAAATAAAACATGAATATGCATCAGAGCCGTAAGGCATCAAGAACAAAGCCAGCATTTGCTGCTTGTGTTAATTAAACAGTTGATTCCCTTTGCCATTCAGGCCTTGGTATATCAGAAAACAGCCTAGTTATAAATCCATAAAGAGTTCAGATATTGTATAAAGGGTTATACACTGCAGGCAACTCACAAATCTACTTAGTTAAAGTTTACAAACATGTCTGGCTTGCAAAGTCAGTGATAGAGAATAATGTTATGATTATAAGCTTCCTCATATGCAAAATATCTGTTTCCCTCTATTTTCACTGGGCCTTGTAAGCACAGTCCAGAAGAGACCAGAGGTAGGTAGAAATCTCAGTGACAACTGACAAACTTTCAGAAAGAGAGGCCCTTTTGATCTATGCTTCTGGGAAATTCATAATAACAGCAGGTAGGGTAGTGATAGAGTCTATTTAATTATCATTTAGTTTTGCCACAAGCCGCACAACAATAGTTAGGGTCAGCTTGCAGGTTAAGATCTAAAGATTATTGAATTTTAAATGAAAGATGAACAGCTGTTACAGAAATAACATTACACCATAACAACTACCAAGGAAATCATTAACAATCTGTGGACTGAATTTGCTCCCTTCCCATTCTCATTATTTATTATTTGGTAGACATTTGTTTTAGGGTTTATTACATTTTTGTTAATTTCTTCTTTGTGCCATTAGCCATTCTCCCCATTTATGTAAATGCTATCCACATTAACCTTTTCTTCCCTGATGAAAGTTTCTATTATGGAAAGGAGGGATGGATGGCAATGGAATCATTTGTAAATCCCACAGCAGTTTCCTTTAGGGGAAAAGGCACACCGTAAAAGTTGGTTGCATTTGCAAGTACAGCTCCAAACTCTATGTTAGCAAAACTACCTCTGATCAATTTCCAACACAAATGACCCTCTTGAGATGGTAAAAGTCAGTTGTGAGCTATGACGAGTGAGTTCTTTTAATTTGTTGGCTCAACTGCTTGATAAAGGTGAATATTTTAATAGTAAACACTACTACGACACTCTACAGATTGACAATAAATAGCCGCTTCCCAACAGTGGCTTCAAGATAACTCCTGATGATATTTACCACTGATGACTTGTCCAAATAGCTCTTCTGGAGTGTCCCCAAAGAATGGCACGCATCCAACCAGAAATTCATAGAGGATAATCCCCATGGCCCACCAGTCCACCGGCTTTCCATAGCCCTGCCTCAGAATTACTTCTGGAGCAATGTATTCAGGTGTGCCACATACCTAAGAGATGATTGCAATATTAGAATAATTGGAATATTAGACATGAATTAAAATGAGCAAGACGGCCAAACACCAATTATTTTGCCCAGAGTACACCTGCTCAACCACATGGAATCACATGAATAAAGAACTGAAAAACAGCAATTATAAACAGTTATCGATAATACCAAAGGCAATGAAATACTTAAATACCAAAGAAGAGAAGTTTAAAAGCCTGCTCTTATATTGAAATATGTGTAATGTTTAATTTCAAATGAAGCATTTGACCCTGTTAAGTACTTTTCTCCATTTTACCATATTAAAAACATACACAAACCTTGCATTTAAAATCAGAGTGCATTTTCATCTGTCACTATCAGCAACAGTATCACTGTTTATATGACCAAAATTATATTCACACTCCGGTTATTTCATAAAATGATGACAGTTGAGATAGGTTTACCTTAAGTTACTTCACAATGAACAGATTGTGGACACATGGTAATGAGGCATGCTTAAAGGGAAATGGGCCATGGCTGGGATTTTAGCATCGGTGATTGTACAATGCATCAAGAGTTTCATGAACACTCTACTGAGACTCCTGAATTTCTTAAAAAAAAAAACAACAACAGCTTTCCATTTGTCTCTCTCACACTCTCACTTGGTTGCAATTAGATCGTTTGTCTTGCTAATAGACCATAATGTTGGGGGAGGGATATGGAAGGAGTGGGCAGTTCAAAGAGGCCCAGGGAGAAAAATGGGAGCAATTTGCACTTTATTAAAGGTAAGGCTTATATAGACATCTACACCACCAGAACTAATGTGAAGATGGCCTAGACAAGTTGGTTCAGAACTTCATGGTACTGTACTCTGTATTTATCTGAAAAGCATCCATGCTTACCTGTTTATCCAGGAACTCTCTTGCATCCTTCTCAATATGGCCCTCATAAAGATTGGTAGTCATGCTCATCAGTCCCACCTTGGATAATCCAAAATCTGTCAGCTTTATGTGTCCCATGGAAGTCACCAACAAACTATCAATTAGAAGGACATACAGGACAACGATCAGAGTGAAGGCTGGCTCTTTTAAATAAGGATCCCAGTTTCTCTCTCATAGTCAGTCTGTAAGAGTATTTAATATACTGGTATCAACCATGTCACAAAAGCCAGTGTGGAAAGAGATAAAGTCACACAAAGATGTCAAATACTTGCATCTAACAGCTGAGTGTAATTCACAAGGGAGAGCCAGGCCAGCAACCAGACCCAGCTCATTTGTGTTGGAGTAGCAATGACAGTATCATTTACAATACTCAGAAACGCTCTGAAAAATTAAAGTGTGAAACTCTGACCCCTTTTCATTTTCAGAAAAGAAAATGCTACCATTAATTCCATGTCACACATCAGGCACTGAGATGACCAAGACATCTGGGATTCAAATGAGACATGAGAGGAAACTTGACAAAAGACACAGTGTTGGTTCAGATTTCAATGGCCAGCCCTAATTTAAATGTCTCCTTGTTAAAGCCCAAACCCCCAGAATTTCCTATATATCCAAAGAATTCAGATCTGACAGTGTCATGTGTGAATTTCTGCCTTTAGATGGAAAATCAAAAGGTTAAAGAATATATGTAGCAATACATTAGTTTTATTAAAAAATTTGAGTAGAGAAAAAAAGCAAGTAGAAAGAAATATGCTGAAATATTAATAGTAATTGTCTTTGTGTATCAATATTGCAAATAAATATATTTTTCTTCTTATGTTTTTCTATCCTTTCCAAGTTTTCTGTAATGACCACAAATCAAACTTATAAAAATTTCAAGGAATCTAAAATCATTATACATTAACATGTAAAGCATTAGAGGCATTTTAAATTAGGGAAGAAAGCATGAAACATTTAATAATAGTATTACAATAAATGCCCAGTTATTTGGGAAAAGTTGTTTATCAGACATCAAAGCAAACCCTAGACAGATTAGAAGTTGAACGAAAAATTAAGTTCAAAGAAAAATTTAATATATTGTCATGCATACCATCTTGGAGTAGGGAAGAATTATCTATATATGATGCCGAATGCAGAAACTATGAAGAAAAAAGCTAACCGTTTTCCAGGTGTGAATATTCAAAATATTCAAAATTTTATATTTACGTATATAAATATATTCACTATATATTCACTTTTAAAAAAATTAACCTTTCCTTTATATTTACCTTTTTTCTTGTTTCCCATAATTTATTAATATATGTATCACAGCCTCTAAAGAAATATACAAAATTTACTATATATACTATCAAAATAAAGGAGCTCTGGTAGCGTAGTGGTTACGAATCGGGCTGTGAACCGCAAGGTCAGCAGTTTGAAACTACCAGCTGTTGCGGGAGAAAGATGAGGCTTTCTGCTCCCGTAAAGATTTACAGCCTCGGAAACCCTGTACAGGGTCGCTATGAGTCGGAACTGACTCCATGGCACATAACCATCAACCACCAACCACTATCAAAATAACCCATTTGAGGACACCATAAGAAAACTTATGAGCAAAGCAACATTAAAAGAAAACCTTTTTTATAGTCATGAATAAGAAACTACTTTTAGTGTGCAAAAATAAAGATGTACAGAAAAGGAGCTGACTGGAGGCAACTTCGTGATAGTGGCTGGAGAGTGTGACATGGCACAATGAAAACCAGAGGAGGACGGCCAGATCATCACTGAATCACATGGCACCATGGGCACACCCTGACCAAAATCTCTATGTGTCTGGGTTCTCAGAAACCATCTGAAATAATACAACAGAATTAAAAAAAAAAAAATTTTTTTTAAGGAAGGACTTGACTCTATTGTTAAGTGCTGTCAAGTTGGTTCCAACCCATAGCAACACTGTATATGGTTTCCAAGGAGATGCTGGTGAGCTTGAACCGCCAATCTTGCAGTTCAAACCGACTTTGCAGTCCAGTGCAACAACCCACAGTGCTACATTCACCAGGACCAACAGCAGGAGAAAACTCTGTAGGAATGTATTTAATCCACTTTATATTACAGGCAGGATTTCCCACATATTTTCTTGCCTGTGAATTTAGCTCTCACCAGGTGGTTGTTTGCTTGCTCAAAGTGAAGAGGATTTTAAATACTGATGAAGATCAAAGACCACAGCCTAAGGTATGGATTGCATGTCAGTGTAAAGAAACAAAAATCCTCACCAATGGACCAATAAACAACATTCTTATCAATGGAGAAAAGACTGAAGTTGTCAAAGAATTCATTTTTCTTAGATCAACCATCAACACTCACAGAAGCAGCAGTCAAGAAATCAAATGACATTTATTGCATTAGGCAAATCTGCTGCACAAGACCTTTTTGGGGTGTTGATAAGCAAAGATGTCACCTTGAGGACTGGGGTGTGCCTGACCCAAGCCATGGTGAAAAAAAAAAAAAAAAGAAACTAATGAAATAAATAAATAAATAAAGATGTAGATGTTTCACTACAGTACATACTTGTCTGGTTTTAAATCCCTGTGTACAATTCCATAATTGTGCAGATATTCCAAGGCCAGGACTGTCTCTGCAAAGTACATCCTGGCCATATCAACAGGGAGAGGACCCATGTTTTTCATTAAGGTAGCACAATCTCCTCCTAGAAAACAAAAGGAAAACATTTAGCAGTATATGATCAGCTAGGACTAAAGAAGATCATCAGTTTAGGTCACAGAATTTTAAAGCAGAATCATCCCTACCCGTAGACATAGTATACCATCATCATAAGTGAATGTGTTTTATTTAAGTCATCATTTTTCTACTTTAGATGGGCTATCAAGAAAATATAGATTTTTATACAAGTAGTACTCAAACAGAACACTGAAATACTGTGACTCTGAAGTGGAAGTGTACTTTGAAGAAGGATTAACACAATGACAACTTAAAGTGTTGCTGTTGTTCAGTGCCATAGAGTTGGTTCTGTCTCATAATAGAGGCCCTGTGTAGGGTTTCTCAGGAGCTGTGGTGGGTTTGAACTGTTGCCCTTGTAGTTAGCAGTCCAGTGCCTATCCTACAGTGACAACTTAAATGTGCTCAATATAAAACCTAGAGATTCTATTCAACTCCTAGCTCTGATATTGACTGACTGAGAGGTGTTAGGCAAACTATTTCATCTCTCTGTGTCCTGGTTCCTTCATCTGTACCGTCTCCTTTAGCAATACTGTGAGAGTTAAAGGAGATAATCTATTGAAAGAATGTAGAAGATTACCCAATGTATATTCAGTACGTTGTACGGGTTAGTTTTATTATTGTGGTTCTTGTTAAAATGGCTGCAACATAATAATGCAAAGTATGAAACAGTATCAAAAGTTCATAGGAAAAACTGACTTAAGAGATAATGGAATTTTCCATGAAATTCAGAGCCTGTAACTCGTTAGGGGAGCAGACAGCCTCATCTTTCTCCTGAGAAGTGGCTGGTGTGTTGAAACCACCGCCTTTTCTGTTAGCAGTCCAATGCCTAACCCACAGAGCCACCGGGGGCTCCTTTATGTTTGTCAAGTTCTAAAAGGAGCTCTGGTAGCGTAGTGGTTATGAATTGGGCTGCGAACCACAAGGTCAGCAGTTCAAAACTACCAGCTGTTCCGCAGGAGAAAGATGAGGCGTTCTGCTCCTGTAAAGATTTACAGCCTCGGAAACTCTGTACAGGGTCACTATGAGTCGGAACCAACTCCATGGCATCTAACCACCACCACCAATGTTTTTAAACTATGTTCAGTGGCAAGAGCTTAGATACTTTAAAAATTACTTCACTCTTTGATGATCTACTCATTTTATTAACTTTATGTTAACAAAGTCATGACTCCCCAAACACTCAGAAATTTATTATAAAATTGATAGAAATAAGATTACTTAAAGTATATGTAAGCACTGGACTGGGAATCATGGAGTCCACAGTTCAAGTCCACCAGCTGCTCCACAGGAGAAAGATGAGGCTTTCGGCCCCCCGCAAAGATTCAAAGCCTCAGAATCCTTATACAGAGTCACTAAGAATGAGACCTAACTTGACAGTACTTAACAATAATAAAAGTATAAAAGAGGTAAACTACAAACCTTAATAATAAAGTTGAAAAAAGCAAGCAAACATAAAACTGAAAATCAGAAAGACTGACTGACTGGCTGGATTTTCTAAAATGTATCTCTTTCTCCTAAACTTTTTTTCTATGCATACCGTACTGTTACAGATCAAATCCACTGCCATCTAGCTGATTCCTATTCATAGCAACTCTAAAGGACAAAGTACAACTGCCCATAAGGTTTTCAAGGCTGTAAATCTCTATAGAAGCACACAGCCACATCGTTCTCCCACAGAATAGCTGCTGGGTTTGAACTGCTGACCTTTCATTAGCAGTTTGCATTTTACTCACTGTACCACCAGGGTTTGCTACTAGACTAAAAAGCTATATTTTTATGACTGCGTTATTAAAAAGGAAAAAAAAAAACCAAAACAATTGTAATGAATGCTTTTATAATATGTGATAAAATAAGTAGGAAAATCCCATCACCTATATTCCAACTTTAATGACCAATTTGAGAGGAGGTTGTTAGGATTAAAAGCTATTAAAAAAAGAAAAACAACCTTTCCCCAAATAGCACTAATTTTCCCTTTGTTATCCTAGAGCAGACACTTTACAAGCAATTATCAAAAGATAATGACTGGGAATACAGCCAGGGCATTATCCGGCTTCAGTTCCTAGGTGGATACAGCCATTCTGGGGCACAAACACAGAAGTTTCAGCAACATGAAATGAACAAGAGATTTCTGGGTACCAGTGTATGTAGAGTTCCCGACATCAGAGATTGACTTACCTTCCACATACTCCATGACCATGCACAAGTGACGCCTTGTTTCAAAGGAGCAATACATGCTGACAACAAAGGGGTTTTCTGCAAACGTCAGGATATCCCGTTCTACAAAGGCCTGCTGGATTTGGTTTCGAAGGATGAGGTTCTGTTTGTTTATCTTCTTCATGGCAAACCTCTGCCGGGATTCCTTATGCCGAACAAAGTAGACTGCCCTGAAAAGGAGCATAAGTGTTGGGATTCGCAGGAAGGGACATGAGGAGGGTGCTCCTTGGAAACAGTAAACCGTGTGATCAAGTTGTTTTAAGTTCACATGGCAGCTGGCATTCAGTCCACACAAGCTAGACTAGCTGCAATAAACATCTCATTTGATTTGGGGGCTGGGGAGAGGGAGGCAGAGGATATTCTTACAACAGAGGCAGTAGTAGCTCAGTGGAACAATTTCTTGAATTCTGTGCTGGAGACTGGGTTTGATTCCCAGCCAATGCACTCCTAAGAAGAAAGGCCTGACCCATCTATTTTCAAAAACCTGCCAATGAAAAGCTTAAGGGTCACAACAGGACTGCTATGCATCGGGTCACCGTGAGTCAGGGGCCAACTCACCAGCAGCTACCAACAGCCTTCTTTCAATAAAGGTCATAAATCATACATAAGACATAAATGCATCCTTACTACAGAAGTAAGAAAATGGAAGCTTCCAGAGTGAGTGATTCTCTAACAGCTAGTTGATGTTTTCAGGTTTTCTTCAAAAAACACCAAAATCCAGTATGTCAGAAGAGGAAAGAATTAACAAAACTACATACATATCACAAGCCTTTCTAGTGTTAGATAAACATTAGGCATTTTTTTCTTGACTAAAGCAGAATTTTTTATATACTACCCTTGGGATCTGCAAAAAGGACTATAGCTTGCTTTCTAACTGGAGAATAATTTACTTCCCATAAAATTTCCAGCTCAATGAGAAGTGTGTCATTGGTTATGTGAGACAGTCTTGCAACAAAAAAGTAGCATATTTTCTCACTATGGATGGACCTCCATGTTTCATACACAACAGGAAATACATTTCCCAACCTAGAGGGGAAGGAGTCCCAACATTTTTGTTCCTTTCAACCCATGGGCCTGGTGTTACAAGGCTCTACTGTAAAATGACCAGGTTGTACTGGATCTTTGCATAAAGGCTCACCCACATAATCTGCAGAGCCAGTTCTGGCAGGGTAAAGACAATGGATTTTAGGGATTTTTGAATCATGCGGAGGCAAATAAAAAGGCAAGTTATTAGGTGGGGACTCTTAAGAAAAAAAAAGTGCTTGGATGGGCTCTTTTTCTCACAGTCATGCTTCATTTGTCATTATCATGGGAGAACAGGTTTGAATTCACAGATTAAGCAGCCATCAAATATGTAGCAATTTACCCAGAGCCATCAATCATGGAATATCCAGTAGGCTGCCTCCTAAGAAACAGACAGGGTTTTCGGGCCTGAGATGTGTTTTTCACTAGTTATTTTCATTATTCCTGAAAGATGAATCAGGCATGTAGCCAAGGAAGACTAGGATCCCCAGTGCTCCTATGGAACCGTTATATCACGGTGATCAATTTATGTACATTTCAATCATAGACAATTCCAGTTTTTAACATTCATATTGCCCCCTGAAGTGTTCAGCTAGTGATTCCTTTCCCTCCCCTCCCCCAAGTATTTGGATCTTTATCTTTGTCTTCTCAATCACTCACAAAACCACACTTTCTTCTTTGCCTAAATATTACTCTTTTTGTTAAAATTTTTTTGACTTTATTCCTTTTCCTCTCTCCTCTTGTTTTTGGTTCTCTAGTTCTTCTTTCATTATATAGTAGAAACTCTCTTAACCAAACTCCACACGCTCACCTCACTGAATAACCAAATGGTATTAGTGCTCAACCTCAAGGTCGACTTGAACCATAAAGTCGGCAGTTCAAACTCATCAGCCACTCCTCAGACTCCTATACAAGGTCACTATGAGTCAGGCAAGGTCGACTTGAACCATAAAGTCGGTGGTTCAAACTCATCAGCCACTCCTCAGACTCCTATACAAGGTCACTATGAGTCAGGACTGACTCGATGGCAGTTAACAATAACAATTATTCCTACTGCAATGCATTTGGTCAGAACTGACTAGCCAGGAGCCGAAGGCTTTCTCTCTATGACTACTTGGGCTCTTAGGATGCCCATACACTTGGGCTTCCACTATTGTTGGGTTTTTTTGTTTTGTTTTTTTTTCCTGTTAGTTACCTTTAAGTCTGATAATGCATGGTATAGACTAGAACTGCTTCACAGGATCTTCAAGGCTGTAATCTTTCGAAAGCAGATACCACCTCCAGGTAAGTTTGAACTGCAAACCTTTTGGCTGGTTGCTGAGAGCGAAAACATTTGTACTGCCCAGATATAGTTTACTTTAATTCCCATACCTGTTGATGCTAGCTAGACTTGATATGGCAATTAAGTAACTTAAATAATTAAACTTGAAACCTAAGTGTGAAAAGGTAATGTGTTTATTTAAAAAAAACACAAAACACCTGTAAAAGCATTAATCCTATGCTTTGGAAAGTCTTGATAAAAGTGAGCTATTAAATAAAATTCATATTGATTTAGTGTGGGTGAGGAAATTATAAAGAATTGGAAAAATCATAAAATTTGCAATTCTATAGATTACTTCAATCTTTTGATGGCTTGTTTTTTCTTGCTTCACCTTTAAAGAAGCTAAATTTTAAACACAGACCATGTATTATGTTTGGTTTCTATTGGCTGTCATAAGGAGACTGGTCTGACCTCAAAAGAACAGTATCTTTATATATATTTAAGGTAAACTAAAACATTTAATTTACCCTAAATTAAAGTGGCAGCATCAATGGGCTCAAGCATGGCAACCATTGTGAGGTTGGCCCAGAACCAGGCAGTGTTTCGTTCTGTTGTGCATAGGGTCGCTGTGAGTCGGTACCGATGGCACCTAACAATAACAACAAAATCTTTAAAGAATATATCATTTCAGAACTGGTTTTCACTTTGGCCAACTTTCTATGTTTAAAGAATGTATCATTTCATAAATGATTTCCACTTTGACCAACTTTCTCATTAGTCAGGAAACTCCTTCTCTTTTCTGAACCAGATTAAAGGTTTTAACTCTATTTTTCTTTTTTCCAAATATGGATAAGGTAAAGGCGAGCAGTCACAAAAAAGTTGAGCAGCTCCTAATCCAATGCTCATTACAGTAAGAGATTGTCATTGCTACTGTTGCTGTTAGTACTGACTCACAGTGATCCCATGCACAACAGAACATAACAATGCCCAGTCCTGTGCCAACCTCACAATTGTTGCTATACTTGAGTCCATTGCTGCTGTCACTGTACCAATCCATCTCACTGGGGGTCTTCCTCTTTATCACTGACCTTCCACTTTACCAAACATGATCTCCTTCTCTAAGGACTGGTCCCTACTTGATAATACGCCCGAAGTATGAGAGACAAAGTCTGGCCATCCTGGCCTCCAAGGAGCACTCTGGTTGCACTTCTTCCAACACAGATTTGTTTGTTCTTTTGGTAGTAGATGGTACTTTTATGAAAGAGCAAATAAAAGACCTTATCCTTGCCACCAGTATAAGACAAGCATGGGAAACAAATATTACAGTAAAAAGGCATTTTTGAAAAATGGCAATTAGAATTCAAATGTGAAAAGGTTAAAAAAAAGAACAAACCAAAAAACTAGTACCTGCCTACTAAAAGTCAGTTGGAGTATAGTTTACTTGCCATCTCTTCTGTCAACAATTCACATTAAAGATTAGAGGTAAGAACCTTGAAACAGATGATATTCTGATTTTCACATCTAGACTATGGGAAGGTTGCTATTTTGATTTATAATCAAGCATCACCATTTCTTATGTAACTAATTGTTAAACAGTGTATCTGAGAATGACAGGAAGTGGAGTAAGAAGAACAGAGTTGTGTATGATTTTATGATGGTAAAAAAGGAGGTAAACACCCAAGACCCCATTGGACTATGATCCTGCTTAGGATTCTCTCTGTGGCATTATATGAAATATGATTTCAGTCTGGAATCTCAGATTTTTTTATCAAATTTGATTTGACTTCCTGCTTTCCCTTGCCAAGACACACTTAAAATAACCAGTTAATTCCTTAGAATTTTTCCCTAAACCCGTGAAATGAATCCTATAGGTACACTGTTATCTTGATCAAGCTGCAGAAGGAAATGTGTTAGCCTACACTAGAGCTGTGTGTTTTGGTTTCATGTTCTTGGCTCTTTACATTTTTGCACTCTTTGGGAAGAGTCCTGGTATGGCACTGTAGGATAAACACTGGACTACTAACCACAAGGTTGGGGCTCAAAACCACCAACTGCTCCTAGAAGTTAGAACCGAACTGATTGCACTTAACAACTCTGTGTCCCGGTGTGATGCCTTAGGATACACACTCGACCTCAAGGTTGGTTTAAACGAAAAGGTCAGCGGTTCAAACTTACCAGCTACTCCTCAGAAACCTATACAGGGTTTCTATGAGTCAGAACCGACTCCACAGCACTTACACACACACACAAAACATAACTCTTTGGAAGTATTATTCTTAATGTTGCAATTTGTTCTTTTAGTAATAACTGTTGTCTCTCATATTTTTTCCCCTTACCCATTAACAGATGTTCCAAATATACTTAAATTAACAGATGGAAAGAAAGGACAGAAGACAGACAGACTTCTAACACTGTTAAGATTGAGCTATAAACCTTCCAAGTTTATAAAACTGGCCTGAGCTGATCCAGTGACCCAGTTCTTTGCTTCCTGACCCCCAAGGGGTTGCTTTTTCTCAGAAGTTGCCTCTGTCTCTCTACTCCTACATTGGCCTCCCTGTGAAATGGGAAAACCAAGGGTGGGAGGTGATTCTGTGGGAGAAGTGCCAGGGACCCCTGCTTCCTCTGATTCAACCTTTTACTCCTCCCATGCAGAATCGAGATGTGGGAAGGCGGTGAAAGCTGGAATCAGAAGCTGACAGGATCTAGAGCTGAATGAATCAGTCCTATTGGGAACATGAATGCCTAATGTGTATAAAATTATGCATGAAACTGAGAGCCCAATACATGAATACTAGCAAGTAAATCTGCATGTGAGAGTGTGAAAGTAAGTGTTAGAGGAAAGCCTGTAGGGAAAGCATGGGAGGGACTGGTGCAGGCCAGCCTGCCCACATGCATCAGGCAAGTGGGCCACTGAGGGGTCAAAGAGAACAGTGGACCCTATGCTGGTGGTGGTGGTGCTAAGTGCAATCGAATACTTTTGGACTTGTAGCAACTCTGTGCAGGGTTTCTAAGGAGCAGCTGGTAGGTTTAAACTGCCAACCTTGTGGTTCATAGTTCATTGCTGATCCTATACAGTGCCACACCAGAAGTCTATGTCTGACTGTTTTTGTTGTTAAGTGCCGTCGAGTCGATTACAACCCATAGTGACACTGTATAGGGTTTCCAAGGAGCAGATGGTGAGCTTGAACCACCGACTTTGCAGTGCAAACGACTTTGCAGTCTGACGTATCAGCTCACAGCGCCACACCAAGACTCTGTGATAGAGTGGATTTAATAGGCACATTATTTAAATGGGCACTATGGCTGGTTGTTGTTGTTGTTGTTAAGTGCCGTTGAGTCGGTTCCGACCCATAGCGACCCTGTACAGGGCTTCCGAGGGTGTAAATCTTTACGGGAGTAGAAAGCCTCATCTTTCTCCCGCAGAGCGGCTGGTAGTTTCGAACCGCTGACCTTACGGTTCGCAGCCCGATTCGTAACCACTACGCTACCAGAGAGGCAAAATGAGGTAAAGCATTGTGCCTTTCAAATTTAGCTTCTTTCACATTAAAAATAAAAATGGAAAAATCCAGGTTCAAGTGGTCAATGAATGACGTAGTACATGTGTCCTCCAAATATGTTAATAGCAAAAACTTGTGGAAGCTGGAAATTGTATAAAGAGGAACTTCATCAGAAAAGGAAAACTCAAAATATTTTGTACCAACAGAAAGTGGTAAAACTGTACCCTGTCAAAGGAGAAAAACTCGTGAGACCTGGAAAAACCAGGCAGTCCTGTCTTGCTCTGACAGTCATAGGATTCACTGTACCACATAGTTAGTATTAGCGTTCTACAGTGCTGAATGGCATAGAGTCGGGGCAGTGATAAAATCCTCTTTTATGCAGGAGACTTGAGTTGGGTTTCCAACTAATACACCTCAAGTGTGGCCTCCTGGACTTTCTAGTTGACTAAGACAGACTAGGAATAAAGATCTGATGATTTACTTTGAAAATCAGCCAGCAAAAATCCTACAGTTCAATCTACCACTGATCAATCAGGGATCCAAACCATGTTAAACAGAGAAGAAAATCGGCGGTTTCACAAATGAGCAAGTTGGCCTTATTGCATGAATTGCTACTGCTTGTGACATCGAGAACCACATGTATTTTAGCACAGCAGACAGAGACCCTTCCTAACAAGAGAACTGGTTAGTTGCCAGCACCCCCAATTTTCAAGAGGCCCCTGGACTGATAATCACTTTGAGTCATTGATGTGAGTGGTACATCCTGTTATATACATGCCGAAGAAAACCCCTAATAGTTTGAGTTCATGCACCCATAGAGGGATCCCACTTGTTCAGCCAGTTCACATACGCCTGCAATCAACATCTTGAGTGGGTACGCCAATGGGTGTAACTCCATTCAAATTTCAAATTAAAAATAATTAAAATGTAGAGGAAATCTGTTGGAAATGTAATGAGCGATTAAATCTGAGAAGAGTGAAAGAGAAAAAAGTTTTGGCTGAATGGTGGCAGCTCGCACAGGCAGCTTGTGAATCCATTAACGACTTGGCCTACTTCCTGGGTGTTTACTGATTCACAGCTTGTTTAACTTCATGTATATTCCCAACCATTCCCCAAAGTGTAATATACCTCATCTACTACACAGTTGTTTAATTGCACTACAAATGAGTTTACTCAACCAATTAGAACTCCAAATACTGCTAAGATATATGTCCAAGTTTCATAAAAATGGTGTCTCACAAATAATCTCATCCCAGAATTCTAGTGCCAATAAAATTTAGAAGCACTAAATCCGAATTCAGTTTTCTTTCTAGTGATGGAAGATATTCTGGATTATCACCCAAACTAAAAAGAACTTTAAAAAAAGAATAAAACTCACAAAAAAACCAGCATGCTAGAAAAAATTTCCTAGGTAGAAAAGTTTTAACAAGGTCTTTGAAAGTAATAAAATACAGCAGAAATACAGAAACAGAAAGTATTTATAAACTACATCAGGAAATATGTCATTTGACATATAACTGAAAACAAATCAGTGGAGCATAGAAAGGCTTCACAAATATTTAAGTTCTTCACTAAGTTAATGGTGTGGAAAATATAAGAAGTGAAAAAAAAAAAAAACCCAGTAAGAGAAGAGAAAACATCCCTGGTGCACAACAAACGTAGCTTTTCTCTCATCTGCTCGTATGTGTGATAAATGGCAATAAATGTCTGTGGAATGGTTTATTGCTCTCCATGTACAGATGGAATTGGGATTAATACTTAATTAAACTAGAGTTCTTGGGCTGTCTAAAACGGATCAGGAGGTAGTTTGTGTATTAATTATCCTTCCAAATTATTTATTAGTAACTCAGATGGATCCTGTCCCAATTTGCCCTATGCCATGAGAAGGCTATCATGTCTGCAGAAAAATGGATCAAGAGGCACAACTCATGAGCTGAATTTTAAAATTTCTGGAGTAATATAGAGACTAAAAGAAACAATCTAAATTTTCACCCAACTTCATTTGTAAAATCTTCTCTCATGAGGTTGATTGTTGGGACAGACAGAGTCCTCAGTAGTTCTAAAGTAGTAATGTTGTTGTTGTTATGTGCCGTGGAGTCGGTTCCAACTCACAGCAACCCAGTACAGGGTTTCTGAGGCTGTAAATCTTTATGGGAGCAGAAAGCCTCATCTTTCTCCTGTGGAACAGCTGGTAGTTTTGAACTGCTGACCTAAAGATTTGCAGCCCGATTCATAACCACTATGCTACCACAGCTCCTTCTCCTCAAGAAATCTATACACATACATACACACATAGAGGGGCATTCAAAAGCTTGTGAACAAATAAAATGAAAAGGTAATGGAATTTTTCCATGAAATTTTTGAAGTCCCCTTATCATAAAGATGTGCTATGTAGGCAAAAAAATTTTTTTACCTATTAAGAGTCAACAGTAACAACACCAAGAGTCCATTATTTCAAAAATTAAAGAGACAGTATAAAGAAGCTATAAAATAGGGTGTTCAGATGTTTTTCTTTTCACATATATTTTTTTTTCCTTTACAAAGTCTTTCTCTCCAACCTTCAACTCTCTCTACAACCCTGCATACATTTTCTGATGGGTAGCCAATAAGAAATGGGTTTGGCTACACGTTATACCAATCAGGGAGCTATCTATCGTCTGAAAAGTACAGCCCACACATAACATCTACCTGGCCTAAGACCAAGGTGAGGAATGCATTACTCAGGTGTGTTTACGTACTATGAAGAGCTTCTCTTGGATTACTCACCCATAGGCTCCATTGCTGATCAATTTAATCGTTTCAAAATCACTTTCCCGGGGTTTCCTTCGAAGCTTCAGGGAAGCATTAGAGCTCTTGGAAACAAAATATGCAAGTTAAAAAACAGTTCAGAATCTGAGAAAATGCTTTTAAAGGCAAGTTAAATAATACATGAATTCCATGTTCTGTCATTTATTATCCTAAAGAGCAGCAGTACAGGCAGTCTCTGGTGACACATTTTAGACTTAGGTATAAAGCCTATTAAATTAAAATACTGAAGTACAATAATAATTCATAAAAACAAATGGGCACTACTTGGTGATGCAATCAAAATATCATTATTATTACTGTGTTTTTCTATTAAAGATGTTTTAGTGTCTCCAGAAATGTTTCTTTCATGTTTTTTAGCATAGAAAGATACACTATGTACTAAGACAAACATTTCACTGACTGATATTAGATATGAACTAATAATGTGATTTACTTACAAATTCGACTTGCAGGTTTAGGAACAAAACTTGTTCTTAGTATAGGGACTGTCTGTATTCAAACCAAATGAACTTTTGGGGCACCTTTAAAAATCAATCTTTTATACAGTGCTGATCAAACAACTGCTGAGGACACTGTCTCCATTCTATTCAAACAAAGTCACATTTTGGGGCATAAGAGAACCAAGCTTATGAAAAATTCCAGATTTTCATTTCCCTTTGTCAATTATTCAAGTTAGCCTCATCCTAGTCTTCTAAAGTTCTAAAACTTATGCGGCAAAATGTCACTCCTTCTTTCTGGTTTAAGTCAATCAGAAAACAGTGGCCTGGAGAGGTCTCTCCAATGCCCATCAGAGAAATGTCTGTCCCCATCATTCCTGTCAGAACCTCTCTTATTTGTAAAAGGTAGTAAACTGGTGCATGGAATACCCAAGAGTGGAATGTTTGCCTTGCATTCCACATTATGAGTTTTCCCTGTGATTAAAGTATCAATTTCCAAGCACACAACTACTTAAAAAATTCATTCAAAGGATAGGAATAAGCAAAATACTGAAAAAAAATCTCTCGCACCCTATGCAGTTCCTTTGCTCTCTTCTCATAAGAAAGCCCGTGATTCTAAGATACGTACCAAGTGCTGCCATTCACTGACCCAACTTCCCTCTTTTCTCCCTACCCAAGGTCTCGAATCATCCTGGAGAATTCAATGTCTAAACAGATAGCTCATCTGACATCAGAGCCTCCGGATTCTTTGACTTCCTCAATTCAGAGAACCACCTCCTTTCTCTTCTTTGCCCTGTAGGAACCGGGTCACCCGCAAATGTCCCATCTCCGAAAATATAATTGAAAACTGGACCCACTTCCTTGTTCCATCACTTGCACTATGGCTGCTCTTAAACACAACTTTGGGCTGTGGGCTCTACCCAGGGCTCTTTTTTCATTCTCTCTTCCACACTTGAGTGTTCTCATTTACGATCACAGGCAACTTTGGGGTGATTGAAACCACCCAAAACTCCCACTCTAAGACCTACAGGGTACCAGACCTTATATACAACTGCCTAGTGGCTCCTTTTGGATGTCTCAATGGAACTTCATTTTACCTCCAAAACTAGAGCTATTATGGTGCGGTGGGATAAAGCACTAGACTGCAAGGTTGGTTTGAGCAACAAGGTCAGTGGTTCAAACTCACTAGCCACTCCTTAGAAACCCTCTATGGGGTCGCTATCAGTCGAAACCGATTCGATGGCACTTAACAACAACATGTGGTGCTATTCTAATCAGTTTTCATGGGCTCTCTCTTTATGACATCTTTTTTTTTTTTTTTTATGTTTTATTGTGCATTATATGATAGTTTACATGAGAGAGCTTTTTTTTTTTTTTTTTTTTGTAACAGATGAGTGAACTGAGGTACAGTAAGATTATCACAGCTAGTAAGGTATGCCAGCAACCCAACTCCAGAGCTTAGATTCATAGCCATTAGACTACCAGCTGTCCCTGTTTCCCTAACCACCCCAACCTGGTCCATTCTGGTCCCTCTTTTGGTACTCACAACTAGGAGAAGGAACCAGCATCTAGCACCTGACTTCCCCATGGCTACCCCGGCCAGTTTTACCAACCCACATGCTTTCAGTACTATAGTCACAGTAATTTTGTTGTTGTTGTTTTTTTAAGCCAGTTACTCAGAATGCATCAGCCTCTGTGCACCTCCCCTACCCGCATATACTTTCCCCAAAGCTTAATAGCTTCTCATTGTCTTTAAGAAAAAGAAACATTAACAAACATGAGTAAAAAAGACCGATGGGTCCAAATTTTACAGCTGGTCTCTGTAGTCTCCCTTGAGTCATAGAACCATTGTCCATGATGTTCCCTTGCCCTAGAATGCTCGTTTTGGCCCTTTCAGTCTTCCCATCCTAGTAATTTCTCACATCTCAGTTAAAACATCATTCCTTGAAAAATCTCTTTGAACCTGTTAGGCTATAGTTACAAACCAACCCCTTTATGTCTCTTTATTTATTAACTTCCATTTATCTTTTGGAGGAAGGGCTAAAAATGATATGCCCGATGTCTAGCACAGCATCTTGTACACACTGGTTGGTTGTTGTGTGCTGTGGAGTCGGTTTGGACTCATAGCGACCCTGTACAGGGTTTCCAAGGCTGTAAATCTTTACAGGAGCAGAAAGCCTCATCTTTCTCCCATGGAACAGCTGGTAGTTTCAAACTGCTGACTGTGAGGTTAGCAGCCCGATTCGTAACCACTATGCATCCAGAGCTCCTATTTGTACACACTGGAAACACAATAAATATTTGTTGAATAAAGTAATTGCCACAGCCAAAATCTCCATGTGCCAATAGACAGAAAAAAAGAGCACTACAGTTGATTAAGAAATATACTTACACTCAATGATTCATCTGTTTCTGGTGTTTCTGCTGTACCACTATCATAGTTTCCCAATTGAGCCATTTCTAAGTTTAAAATAAAAGCAAAATGAAGTTTAGAGAAAGTGGACAGACAAAAGCAATTAGATAAGAAGGGTAAATTGAAACAAAAGAAAAATCATTTCTCCAATATTATAAAAGGTAAGAGTGAAAACCCTTACCCTATACTTCAACATATCATGGGATAATCTTAACTCCAAAAGGTTCAGAACCAGCAATCAATATTTTGAAGTTATGCATTATGCACCCTTCCCAGAAATGCCACTCCACTCCTATGACTGTTAGGCATCGGAAACTTTAGAGACTGGGCCTCTGCTCTAGCTGGCAGGATTGGCACACTAATGCAATCATCGTCGCTTGGAAAGGTCTTTTCTCTCAACAGCTGTGCTTATAATCAGATATTCAGGAGTGGCAAGACTCCCAGGTCCCAGGAGACAAGTAGGATGTAATGACTACAAAATTTGGAGATGATTCTCAAGTTGCCTGAGTATCGTTTGGGCTATCCCTTCACAACCACTGCAAGATATCCCAAGTAAACTATTTTGAGTGTCGCTGAGTGGGTTCCGATGCATAGCAATTCTATACATAACAACTTGTCAAAAGAAAGTAAAAGCCGTGGATAAGAAGGATTTGTTGTTGTTGTTCTTAAATGCCATCAAGTCACTTCCAACTCATAGTGTCCCTGTATAGGGTTTCTGAGGAGCAACTGGTGAGTTTGAACCTTGTGGTTCAAATCAACCTCATGGTTGTATACTTAACCTACAGTGCCAGGTGGTGCAGTGGATTAAGCACCTAGCTGCTACCCAAAAGGTCAGTAGTTTGACCCCACCAGCTGAGCCATGGAAGAAAGATATGTCAGTCTACATCCTTAAAGATGTACAACCTCAGATTTACAGCCTAGGGAGCCGTTGTACTATGTCCTATAGAGCTACCAGGAATCCGAATCCACTCAACAGCAGTGGGTTTTGGTAGCAATGAAATGCCCTGAGGTACCACCAGTATCAGCACTGGGGAATCTTTTAGCCTTCTCCCCTATAAAGTGGTAACAATACTACCTCTCTCTGAGAACTTTTTGTGAGTATTATATGCAATAACACATATAAAGTCTTTTGTATGTTGTCTAACAAAAAGTTAACAACTCATTAATGTTGATTATTACATATTATTAATTATATTCATGTAGAGTAGTTAAACCTTGGTTGGAATGCTACTGCTTGACATGACACCCTCTTAACTACTACCCTGGTGGCCTTTTAGGAGCAACAAAGGCATCAAACCAATCTACACCGAATGCATCCTGAGTTTACACAAAAAATGAGAAGAAACAAATTCATTTAACTGTTGTTTTTTGTTTATCTTTATACTTTTTGTTGGAAAGCACTGAAAATATTTACTCCAAAGTTTTGACAAGGGTTAGCTCTGAGCAGCAGCATCACAGGTAATTCATATTACCTTTCATTACCTGCATTTTAGAATGTTTCAAACTTGAAAATGTAGATTAACAAGTTACAGGTGTTATTAACATATTCTTATATGCCTCTAAAGTTATTTCTTAGGTTCTTATTTCATGTTTTCAGATACTACCTTTTGTTTTGTCCCCTAGAGGCTACATGGAGTCCTAGTGTGGCACTGTGGGTTACTGCACTGGACTGCAAGATCAGCAGTTCAAGCCCACCAGCCGCTCCTTGGAAATCCTATACAAGGTCGCTATGAGTTGGAACCGACTCGACGGCACTTAACAACAAAGAGGTTATGTGTAAAAACACAAAGCAGAACAATGCAACTCAAGATTAGTGACCTGGAAAGCGACACTGAACGTCCATTCACCTGTAGGGGAAACTGCAGAAAAAGGAGGCGCTCATGGTGCCATTCAAATGATATCAGTGTCCATTAGGATTAGCACCTTGGGCTTATGAACTTGAAGGTAAACCCAAATGTATTCAGTTGAAGGAACTCTCAAGAAAAGGGGTAAATTTTAATATTGCTTATAGCATAGTGGTTACGAATCAGGATGTGAACCTTAAGGTCAGCAGTTCGAAACTACCAGCCACTCCACGGCTTTCTGCTCCTGTAAAGATTTATAGCCTCGGAAACCCTGTACAGGGTCACTATGGGTAGGAACCTACTCAATGGCACTTAATAACAACAAATAAGGAAGCAAGGAGTTCTTCTGGTAGGTAGCATAGAGGTCACGAATCGGCTGCTAACCTCGAGGTTGGCAGCTCGAAACTACCAGCTATTTCACGGGAGAAAGATGAGCTTTCTGCTCCGGTAAAGATTTACAGCCTCGGAAACCCTGTACAGGGTTGCTATGAGTCGGACCCAACTCCACGGCACATAACAACAACAACAACAATATGAGAAAGCAGCAACAGCACTAACCAAACAATTACTGTGTTTCCCTGGTGTGGTGCTCAAGTATAAGCACTGGACTGCTAACCACAAGGTAGGCAGTCAAACCTACCAGTCACTGCTCGGTAACCCTACAGAGAGCTGCTATGAGTCAGAACTGAATCGATGACACTTAACAACATCTCAAGTACAGCACTGGCGGTCCATGTTCCATATGGGAGACCCAGGTTCAATTCTGGGTCACCCTTCATAGACACAGCCAACACCTGTCAGGGAAGTCCTGAAGTGGCTATGATACAGAATAGGTTTCAGCTGAGGTTCCAGACTAAAACAGACTAGGAAGACAGACCTGATCTACTTTTGAAAATCAGCCACTGAAAATCCCATGGACTGCAAAGGTTCTGATCAACAATCATGGGATGGAGCAGGGCTGGGCAGTGTTTCATTCTGTTGTGACTGAGGTCACCACTGGTCAGAGCTAACTTGACAAGTGCTAAGATAGCATGTCTTATAACCATCAAAATAATCCCATGGATAGGTACTATTATTGCCCCATTTTTGTAGAAGGAACTGAGGCACACAGAGACTCACAGTGTCTTCCAGTCCATACAGCCTACGGTATAGCCAGGGTGCAAGACCCTCACTCCTAACCTTCAGACAACAGACTTACAGTACGGTAATTTAGACATGGACAAGAAGTGGAAAGAAATGGAGATTACAATTTATAATTGTTATTTAGTGCCTTTGAGTTGGTTCTATTAGCAAGGAGTATAGGGTTTCCAAGGAGTAGCCAGTAGGTTTGAACTGCTAACCTTGTGGTTAGCAGTCCAGTGTTTCTCCTACAATACCACACCAGAGAAGACACATTTTAAAAAACAAATAAATTTAAAATATCTTTAGATTTGTATCAATAAAATTAGATGATAAGAGTTTAAAAGACAACTCCTATAGATGTCTAACGTCATGCATTTAATCCCAAAATTCTGTCTACCCAGAACATCAGACTGCGACTTTATTGGGAATAAGTGTTTTTGAAAATGTTATTACTGAAGGATCTTGAGATGAAGTCATGCTGAATGTAGCGTGAACGCTAAACCCGGTGACTGAAGGTCACATAAGAAGAGGGGAAGACAGGCACCAAGATACAAGGGAGAAGGTGACTGAAGATAGAGATTGGAGTGGTATATTCATAAGGCAGGGAAAAATCACCACTAACCACCAGAAGCTAAAAGAGAAGCATAGGAATTCTGCCCACTCCTTAATTTGGGGTTTCTTGCCTTCTGAACAAAGAGAGAATGCATTTCTGTGATTTTAAGTCATCGAGTCTGTCATAATTTGTTAGGGAATCCCTAGAAGATGAATACAATCATTAACGTCCAAACTTGTCAAAGATCACGATTTGTATTTTTGGTGGGGTTTTTTTTCTTCATTTCTTAAAAGTCTCTAAAAAGGTCCATAAACAGGTCTCAGATGATTTACCTACTGAAATTGTGCCTGCAGTGAAATTTACTGCCAGGTAAGAAAACTGTGAAGAACGCACTCGGTCTATAATTCAAGTGCTGACATAACCCTAACTATCCCAGCGTGAAGACTCACTATAATGTACTTTGACAGTCTCCCCCACTCCAATTATTTTCATAAAGAAAACAAATTAAAAGATGGTTATGTTTTAAATAGAATTTCTGCTAAATAACTATTATCTGGGAAATACATATTATTTGCAAGCAGTGGGTAGTAATGGAATGGAACCAAGAGTCAGCTTTTGAAGCAGGAAGCTAAGGCATCATTTTGCAATGCCTGAAGAGATTTTTAAAACTCATCTAAATACCATTAAACATCTGCCCTTTTTATTTCATTGATTTAAACCATTTCTGAAGACTCATGATTCAAAAAGGTAAGGATGGTAATTTAAAAGCCATGGGGAAAAAAAATCTCTCCCTAGGGAACTTTTCAGAAAAGCATCCACCAGTCTGTGATAAGTGATGAATCTGTTGTGGTATTGCTTTCAGTACAGTATAAATTTATCTGACATTATCTCACAGTAATGCATGCATCATTTCACTGGAAGCAAAGCTACAATGGCCATAAGAGCAAACAAAGCAGGGGAAAGGAGGAGAGAGAGTAGGCCCCACAGCAGCCAGCTCCCTGGCTTTAGATGGGAAAAGGCCTCCCTGCCAGTGCTTACTACCATTACCAACAATTTAGCAAGATAAACACTGTGTGCAAATTCAGTTTAATGACTCAAGATGACATTTTTGAATGGAGGATTTGGAAGTTGTTTCTGCGCTTTCATAGGCAGTAGATAAAGTAAATGTTTTAAATGACAGTTCCAAATAAGAATGAGCAGGGGGAGAAGATAAAAAAAAAAGAAAGAAAGAAAACGAGGAGGCTGGGTGACTTATCAATAATAGATTTTAAAAAGTTCATTAACAAGGTAATTTCTGTTCTTGGTATTTAAAAGAACTGTCTGTTATTCATTTGTATCAACTCTAAAACTTTTTATTAGCTGAAGAAAACATTTCTTCTTTCACTAGGCTCTCTTGCATATTGCCATTTTTCATTCTTAAAAGAAGTAAGCAAAAATATACCTCCCAATACTGTGTCCAATTTAAAGTCATCTACAAACCTGCCGTGGTGCTGTGGGCTAATGCACTGAACCACAAGGTCAGTTTGAACTGCAAGGTTGGCAGTTCAAATTCATCAGCCACTCCTTGGAAACCCTATACAAGGTCCCTATGAGTTGGCTAACTTTGTTGTTGTTGTTAAGTGCCGTCGAGTCAGTTCCGACCCATAGCGACCCTGTACAGGGTTTCCGAGGCTTTTAAATCTTTACGGGAGCAGAAAGCCTCATCTTTCTCCTGTGGAGCAGCTGGTAGTTTCGAACTGCTGACCTTGTGGTTTGCAGCCCGATTTGTAACCACTACGCTACCAGAGCTCCCCAGCCACTCCTTGGAAACCCTATACAGGGTCGCTATGAGTTGGCTAACTAGACGGCATTTAACAACAACAACACAATTGCTACATTGCTGCTCTCCAATTACTTCAAGTTTAAATGTCATTTAGCAAATAATTATAGTTAATGTCTTCAGAAATATATTCGAAATTAAACTGCCCTCCAGAAGAATCCCACTGAACTTTTCAAGAGAAAAAAATCCTGTGAGATTGAAAATGAAACCATTCTGGCACACTAGTATCCTCGGGCCGAGAGGCCTCTAGGATTTCAAGGTCTGTCCTCATACTCTATGTAAACACAAAATGAATCGTGTCCATTTGCTCCTCCAAATAACAATCATCCCCCAAGTCTGGAATTTTCAGTAGTTAGAAGCATGAGGAAAACATGAGAGCCAAAACATGAGAGAAAAATAGACAGACTGCTTCAAGTTCTTACATGGAACCGATGAGTATAACCAGACACTCACCTTCCAGAGGATCCTTATTGAGCCCCAGCTGGCTAATGATGTATCTGGGAATGTCAGTTTTAATACCCTGCCCTTCTTTTGCATGGCCTTCTGCAGCTTCCAATAGGTAGTAAAATTCTTCAGGATCAAATTCCTAGAGGAAGACAAACACAGATGGATGCTTCTCTGAGCCAAAATTTCCTGAGATTTTATTACATAAATCTCATTCACAGTAAAATTGCTGGATATACATGGTTGTAAGTTATTTATGCAGAATTGGAGGTAAATGAGTTTGAAAAGTACATAATTCTCACTTAAGGAGCTCTGGTAGCGTAGTGGTTACGAATCGGGCTGCGAACCTGAAGGTCAGCAGTTCGAAACTACCAGCTGCTCTGCGGGAGAAAGATGAGGCTTTCTACTCCCGTAAAGATTTACACCCTCGGAAACCTTGTACAGGGTCG